GTGACACTGTGTGTGTTAAGGCGCAGCAGGGTGACAGCTGCAGGGATGGTAGGCCACAGCAGAGGCTACAGCTACCACCCTGTAGTTCTCACCCCCCTGTGGTGTAACACATAGACATGACATGCGTTTTGCTTTCAAGAATTGGGGGTGCGGTTCCCCCCAAACCCCTGCACCTAGCTTCTTGAAACTTGTCAGGCTTCATGCTCTCATCCAAATCAGACATAAAACAAAGTTATAGATATTTCATTGATTCCCCATTATAGCCAGATCTCTGAGGTGACTCTGAAGCTTCAGAGCCACTTCAGCCGGATCAAAGCAGGAACCCAGTCTGGAGCTCTGGATCAGATCCCTGGCATCTGAAGTGGAGGGATCCTATCTGAAGCCAGATCAAATAGCTTCCTACTTGCACAGGCCTATTGAGCATGTGAATAAGCTCTCTTTGTATACATACATATATACATACATAAAAGTGTGTGTATGCATATATTTGAAAACACTGACTCATGAAATAAGCACAGTATTTCTCTACATACAGCTGCTTGGTCAAGCAATGGCTATATGTAAAAGTCTTGTAAAATATTGTATTTACTCATATATAAGACAAGGTTTTCCCGCCAATCAACATGGGAGGGAGGCCCCTTGTCTTACCATTGCATACAAGGAAACCTCACTAAATGCATTGTCTGTCATTAAACTGCTGCCAAAAGCAGGATGTGCTCAGTAATGGAAACTAATTAAATGCAGCCAATGCTGAGCATGAATATAAAACATATGGCCCATATGGAGCAAATGTACTGATGAGAACCCTTTTTTGTGTGTGTATGTATGTGTGGTCCTTAAACAAATGGGCAATTTCTCCCCCAGGAGGGAATGAGCCTAAAGCTCCTGCAATACCAGGCTGGCACTCAGAGATGCCAGGACAAGCTTTGACACCCTACCCTGGTGCCAAAAATGCTCATTACATACTGAGGGATCCACCACAAGGATTTGCTAGTGCAGTCCACCTGAACAAAATATATTGTAGGGCCCTTTTGTGCTCAGTCACCCTCAGCGCTGACTCTTTTACAGTCATGGTGAGTCACTGAATACATTTTGACTTCCTCTTCACCCCTGCAGCTGAGCTATGTCTTTCTTTCCCATTTCCAATGAGTCCTGTTTTTTAACCAGCCTTAAATGTCTGGTCTGCATCACCAAATGGGGTCCCAAACAGCTTACCAGGCCCTCTCTCAGCCTGTCACATATAATTTGTGTGGTCCCACCCTCCATGAGATGGAGCTGGACCAGCAGGGTTCGATTTATGGGGGAATTCGGGGGGCTGAGCCATCCCCCCCTGTAAGATTTGAAAATCACAACCAGGGGTGGGGGGTTGTCTTGAATTCTGTTTGAGCATTGTGATGGGCGACCCATTTTTTTTGCAGACCCCCCCAAGGGTCAAAGTGTAATTTGAACCCTGTAAACCAGGCTGCTCTGAACGTCATCCATATATAAATTTTTGGAGGAACCCAAGGGGTGAAGGCCTGTTCCTTGCACTGTGGGCAGGTGGACCCCTGCGAGACTCTACAAATGCCTCCAAATGTGAGGATCTTTGTTATACAATTTATGGTGATGGGGGATTATTCAATCTTTTCCCCCTAGTTTGTTCTTTTGAATAGGGACAAGCAAGATTAGGATGCATGTGAACTCCAAGGTCTCTTGTCTCCTGGCTTGGGGCTTGCACGTAAGAAGTCTGCCATGGATGTGGGTGTATGTGAAGCCCCAGGCTGAAGAGTCTGGGAGGTAGGATACTTGCTGGTGGTGGTGCCACACAGATTTGAATGAATGAACTCTCCTCAGTTGAAATTTGGAACTTAATTTGGAATTGATTTGGCCCTGGAAATGAAATTTTATTAAAAAGCAAAAAACGGAAACATAGTTTGTATACAAGCAGATACAGAAATGCTGCTAAAAAGTGTGTTTATGGAATACCTGTGCTAAAACTTGCAGTGGTTTCAAAAGAGATAAGTTGCATCAATTCTGGATAAACTAAATCTATTGGTACCTGTAATTTCCGTATATGCAAATTTCTACAAGTATGGTTATTTCTAAGTCTGTGTTTTCAAAACTGTTTCTCACTTCCATGAGTCTGACAGGGCTGCAAGGGGAAGAAGTTGGGGTGGGGGCAGAGGGCAAGGGGGCTAATAATAAATCTGACCTCCCAGATTTATTTTCCCTGATGTAGCAGTGGTAAGGGGCCAAATTCAAGGCAAACCTCCAATAATTAGATTCCGTACCTGGAAAATTGTAACAAAGTTATAAATCTTCCATGTATACACTTTGATTATGGGGGGTTGTCTTATATTGGAGTAAATGTGGCATTATCTCTATATAGACCTGTTCAACTAGCAGCTTATGGAGCATGAGGAGTTAAGTTGTCCCTGGGCTTCTGCCCAACCACTGCTTTCCCCATTGCTTCAGCTAAAACAGTGGCCCAAGTCTCTAGGCTTCCCTTCTGTCCTCTGACTTTTACTGACTGCCTCTGCTGCAGGATGCCCAATGCAGGCACAAGGTGCAGAAGTGGGCGAGAATATGGAGTGCATGAATGAAGAGGGGCTCATGTGGGGGTGGGGAGGAGTAATGTCCACATTGTGTGTGGCCTGTGGACCTGTGAGTTGCCCTGGTGAAGCCTATGGGTATAACAGCCTATGGGTGTGCCCCATTGATGCAGCCCGCAGGGTGCTTTGGTTCCCAGCCGCTTAGGGGTTGGACAACACTGTTCTATATAAGTCTGGTAGGATCTGTTATACGATTTCTGTAGAAATATTTAAATAGATG